TGATCAACTGGAAAATTTAGTGGGAGCTCTTGACTGCTTTGGATCTGGTAGTAGAATCATTATAACAACAAGGGATAAGCAAGTGCTGGCTAAAAGAGTTGACAAAATATACGAGGTTAAGCCATTGATATTTGATGATGCTGTTCAACTTTTTATGTCGAATGCCTTTGAGAATAATTATCTAGACATGGAGTGGATTGAACTATCAAGGAAGGTGATCAGTTATGCAAAAGGCATTCCCTTAGCTCTGAAAGTTTTGGGTTCTTTTCTTTATGGCAAAAGCAAGGAAGAATGGGAGAGCCAACTTGAGAAGCTCAACAAAATGCCACATGCAAAAATTCAGGACGTCATGAGATTGAGTTATGATAAACTAGATAGAGAAGAGAAGAATATTTTCTTGTACGTCGCATGTTTCCTTAAAGGATACAAAGCACAACAAATAGTAGTTTTACTAAATGCTTGTGGTTTTTCATCAATTATCGGGCTCAAAGTGCTTCGAGACAAAGCTCTTATCACTGAAATCAAAGGATCAAATTCAGGAGCATCAAGAATATTTATGCATGATTTGATACAGGAAATGGGTTGGGAGATTGTTCGTGAAGAATCAATTTATGATCCTGGAAAACGCAGTCGATTGTGGGATGCTAATGATATATATCGAGTATTGGAGCATAACCTGGTAAAAACTTTAGCTGTATAACTGTACCCTTTCAAAATGTCTTCTTGCTTTTACCTGATATGCTGCTTTTGCTTTCCAGGGGACTAAAGCCATTCAAAGCATAACTTTGAATGTGGCAAAAATTGAAGAGCTCTGCTTAACTCCTCAAGCCTTTGCTGAGATGTCAGAGCTAAAATTTCTTAGATTTTCTCAGAATGATGTTGATGAAGAAACTTTGCCAAATGAACTGAGATGTCATGGCCTTGAATCTTTGCCAAATGAACTGAGATTTCTTCATTGGGATTGCTGTCCTTTAAAATCTTTGCCCTCCACATTCCGTCCAGAAAGTCTTGTTGAACTTAACATGACTTGGAGTCGTGTGGAGAAACTTTGGGATGGAGCCCTGGTATGTATCAATCTACATCATCATAAATAAACGAACATGATATAGTTTTTCTTATTTTGTCTCTTGTGAAAAGAAAAGCTCATACAATGTCTGTCTCTTGTGAATGGTGCAGCGTCTTGTGAATTTAAAGAAAATTGACCTCAGTAATTCCAAGCACCTATTGGAACTCCCAGATTTTTCTATGGCCAAAAATCTTGAAGAAGTTGAACTCTACAACTGTAAAAGCTTGTGTAAGGTTCATCCTTCGATTTTAACCATCCACAAACTTGTGAAATTGAACCTTATATATTGCACATCACTTACCAGCCTTAGAAGTGAAGTCCATTTAAGATCCCTGAGTAGTCTTTCTCTTGGTGAATGCTCAAGGCTCAAAGAATTCTCTTTGACATCAGAGAATATGAGGGACTTGAGTTTGGCAGGCACAGCTATCAATGAATTGCCTTCATCCATGAGGCTTCTAAACAAACTTGAAACATTTGACTTGCATCGTTGTAAAAGCCTTAAGAATCTTCCAAGCAAGTCAACTAACCTCCATTCTCTTCGAGAACTCAGGATCTTTGGTTGCATGCAGCTTGATGCATCGAATTTACACTTGTTACTTGATGGTTCGAGGTTCTTGGAAACACTGTTACTGCAAGATTGTCGTAATTTATTTGAACTTCCAGACACCATCAGATTCCTATCCTCATTGAAGCATTTATCCCTAAATGAAACAGATATTGAGAGGTTGCCTACAAGCATCAAGCATCTTCCTCAACTTGAAAAACTTGACTTGAGTAATTGTAGGAGGCTTCAGTCTTTGCCTAATCTTCCACTAAGCATTAAAGAACTATATGTCACTAACTGCACTTCCCTGGAGAGAGTCATGTTTTCTTCAATGGCTGCCGATCATCTGACGGGAAAAATACGAGTCTGCACCATATTCCAGAATTGTGTGAACTTGGATGCACAGTCACTCGCAGCTGTAGGAGTGAATTCTCATGTCAACATTAAGAGATTGGCAAATGAACATTTATCAACTCTAGGAAAAAGTAAGATCCTAGATGGCCCAGTTGATGTTATTTATCCAGGAAGCAGTGTTCCAGAGTGGTTCATCAACAGGACAAGGCAGTCATCAGTAACTATTGACTTATCTTCTGCTCCACCTTCCGTCTTTATGGGTTTCATTTTTTGTGCGGTTGTCTGTAAGTTCGCATCAAATGACAGCAACCTCGTCGGATGTGACTGCTGCATGGAGATTAATGGTACAAGGAACAAGAATATGGGTGCATGGACTAGCATATCTGCTTGTGAATTTATGTCTGATCATGTATGTCTGTGGTACGATGAACGATGCTGTCTGAAAACTGACGAAAACATGGAAGCAGATGAAACCAATAACAAGAAAATATCATTTGAGTTCTTTGCACAAACTGGGAGTATCTGGGAGAAGAAAAAAGATATTGTGATAAAAGAATGTGGAGTCTGCCCCGTATATGCCTCAGAACATCACAAATTCATTGAGCAAATGGAGTTGGAGTTGAAGTCACAGCTTAAAGCAATCGGTGAGAACAAACATGAGAAGACAATTCCTTCAGCTCAAAAGTCCAATGAACATATCTTTCCACTTCCCAGTGGATCTTGGAAGAAAGCAACACAAGGCTTAAGAGATCTCCTCAGCTTGTGACTGCTTCAGAGGCATCAAACTGAAAAGTTCTCTCTCAGTGAAGCTTTTTAGGGTCTGACATGAAATAATTTTCTTTTCTCTTTTTCTTTTTTTCTCTATTTAGATAGTAACAACCCATTCCTTTTGTAATAAGTCGTACTCCGTACATTAAAGTTCAGAATGGTAACAGAAACTTAGAATTGGCATTTCATTCATGGTACAGATCCAAAAGTTGAGAAGAAATTCTCTCCCAAAGATAAACTTTGTAATCACTTGATAAATTGAAGACGTGAATCCTTCATTTGCATTGCGGGTATCGTTCAATTATGCATTCATAAGCTCTTGGACTTCATAGACATGTGACAAAGCAATGGTTTTTGTAATTATTCTCACGCGGAAAATATCTTTGGACTATGATATACCTAAGCCCCTCGAATTTGGAAAAAGTTAGATAGACACAGTGTCTTTGTTTAATGTTTATTAAAAGTGGGGGGGCGGGGGGAATGAATGACAATGCTTCCGTCCGTTATCACAATTATAATTTTTTAAAATAAATTCTAAATTTTGAAAGATAAATTATAAAGAGGATGGAAAATTTGAAAGGGGGTGAAGGTTTATATATAATTCTAATATTAATTGTTATTATAAGTTAGTAACTAGTTTTATTAAAATGTTATAAAACTAATAGAAAATTTAAGAAATGGAATAAGCTTAAAATAAATATTACTTGATTCTTTTTTTCCAACAAATATTACTTAATTCAAATCACAGAAAATATTCATTAAAAGAGATGTCGTCCGTACTTGTTATTGTTATTGGAACATAGGATTATATTTTTAATGACGAATGAAGGAAAATCAAAGTGTTAAAGAATATATTATTTAGTTTTTTAACAACGAAGGTAAAAAATTTTAATGATTATAGTATCACTTTTAAATTTAATAAACATTTTTATGACTAAAGTTAAGTTATTATAATTTATATAATTTTTTTAGCTTGCTAAATTTTATTTCTATTAATTTATTATTATTTAACGAGAGTAATGGAATTCGGTGTTGAGAATTGACAATTGCTCCAACCCCAACTTGACAAACTCAAAGCCTAGGCGATGTGACGTGACTATAAAGTCAAGCCTCATCAAGGGGGACTAATAAATACTAGTAACATGTAAGCTACGGCCTACGGCAATATATAATTCTTTATATAATTAATTTGACAAAAGTAGGATAGTTAAGTAAATTGATTAATTATATAACTTTCTCAAATTATATTTTTTAATTATGTGTATTAAAATTAATAGAGATATTTTAAATAAAAATAATAAATTTAAGAGACAAACTAAATAATAAAGATCTTATATTTAAAATCAAATTAACAAATCTTATATTAAACTATGTAGTAAATTATAGAATTTATATTAATCAGGCAAAAAAAAAAGAATTTATATTAAATGTATTATCATATTTATTAAACAGGATTTGATAGCGTCATTTAGGCGCCATGAAAGGGAATCTGCCCCACTTGATTTTAATGATTAAACTGCAAAAAAGCTTTTAACTTTCCTTCTTCCGAGCTCTTCTCCCATTTCTAGAATCTTGTTCTTAGTCTGATGATCAAAACAAGCAAAAATTTACTATCTTGGTGGAGGACTTAAGGGATGGAGACTCCCAGAGACTTAGACCGGGACTGCTCTGCCTCTATCTAGCTAAAGTTTATGATTGACTGCTCTCAGCCATCGGCCACGGGCTACTTGGGTATTTCTGGTTCCACTTTGCTAGCCAAATTCTCTGATCTTCTTCTCTCTTGTTCATCTTATTAGAATTTTGTGTGTGTTTTGAGTTCTCTCATCTCAGGCCCGCACTGCAACATTGAGGTTGACTGTTTGAGTGTGATAGAAAAGAAAGTTATCGGAAAAAACTGTTTCGTTACTCCACAGAAATTTCTACTGCAGGGCCCACTACCTAAAGTTGCAGATGTTATGAACGTAAGATATTTTAGTATCGCCCCATTTCTCTGGATTAATTGACTTTGATGGACTTGGTTTAACCAGCTGAAGGTTTTCTTTTCGTCCTCCCCCCCCCCTCCCGGGGGGGAGCTATATCTTCAAACAAAAATACTAAGCTTTCATCAGTAAAGATAACTTTAATTAGTGTCTTTGTGCAATTTGACTGGATAAACTTCCCAAGTTACATTGAATTAATTACTGCAAAACCCTACGTATTAGACGCGTATGTTAACATGAATATCGTACTTTGCACGTCAAACTTCGTCTGCGATATTAACGGGTGCTTTGTTATTCCGAAGTTCTGTTGCATATTCAAACAGTATGTGAAACTGTTAATATTCTTGGAAATGATTTGAAAGTGTTACCATTTTTTCTTTATATTATCAGTAATAGAGAAAAGTTAAAAGATCTTAACCATGTGGAACTACCTTAGGGGACAAGAATGACTTAGGATATAGGTAATGGTTAAGGTTCGGACCTTTCTTATGTAATCTAAATTTAGCCTTTTCTTTTATTCTTGATTCTTGAAGCCACTGTTTCCTTTCTCTCTCATTTTGTCTTCTGTCACTTTGTTTTGTTGGTTCCTCTTAACTTGGACCAAAGGAGGAACAGACAAAGATTTACTTGTGCTAAGCGAGCTGGGATATACAAGATCTGCGCATAGAGACACTTCTCTGTTTATTTCTGTCTGATGGCATCATCATCATCTCAGTTCTCTCGAATAAAACATGATGCCTTTATCAGCTTTTGCGGCACAGATACACGTTCTGGTTTTCTTAGTCATTTGAAAAAAGAATTGCGGCATAAGCAAATTGATGCCTTCGTGTATGATAATAAGCTTGAGAGAGGAGATCTAATATCACCAGAACTTTCTGTAGCAATAGAAGAATCATTCATTTCGCTTATCATATTTTCAAAGAGCTATGCTTCTTCGACATGGTGCTTGAAACAACTGGTGAAAATCATGGAGTGCAAGGACAAATATCAACAGATTGTGATTCCTGTTTTCTACGACATTGATCCAACAGATGTAAGGCACCAAAAGGGGTATTATGCAGATGCTTTAGCTCAGCATGACTCAAGTTACAAGGAAGAGGTGCCAAATTGGAAATATGCCTTGAATAAAGCTGCTAATTTATCTGGATTTCATTCATCAAAGTATGGGTAAGTTCTTTTCTTTGGCGAGTTTATCTTCTGCATTTAGTCTCAAGAAATGAGAAATTCTTAAGGAGAAAAGACATGACCTACTTCATTTTTTTCTTACTCTCTTTTGATTATTTATTATAGGGATGAAGCTAAGCTTATTGAAGAAATTGCCAAATCCATGTCAAACAAGTTGAATAATGTGTATCAAAGTGACTTCACAGACCTTGTTGGCATTGATGAAAGAATTGCAGATTTAGAATCTCTAATGGATCAAGGGTTAGAAGATGTCCGTGTCATTGGAATTTGGGGCATGGGCGGGATTGGCAAGACAACTATTGCTGCAGCAGTTTTTAATCGATTTTGTTCTGAATATGAAGGTTGTTGTTTTTCGGCAAATGTAAGGGAAGAATCAAAGAAAGGTGGGATTATCCATGTGAAGAACAAAATTCTTTCTATACTACTGAAGGAAAATGATTTATACATTGGCACTCCCTATGGTGTACCCCCTTATGTGAAGAGAAGGCTTCTCCGGAAAAAGGTTCTTGTTGTTCTTGATGATGTTAATGATTTGGGTCAACTAGAAAATTTAGTTGGAGCATTTGATTGTTTTGGACCAGGTAGTAGAATCATTATTACAACTAGAGATAAGGAAGTACTTGGTCAAAAGGTTGACAAAATTTATGAGGTGAAGCCACTGGATTATGAAAAAGCACTCCAACTTTTCAACATGAATGCCTTTAAACAAAGCTTTCTAGACATGGAATGGAGTGAGCTATCAAAGAGGATGGTTGCGTATGCTAAGGGACTTCCATTGGCTCTTAAAGTTTTGGGTTCTTTTCTCTATGGGAAAAGTAAAGAAGAATGGAAAAGCCAGTTGAAAAAGTTGGAGAAAAAGCCATTCAAAAAAATCCATGATTTGTTGAGATTGAGCTACAATAGTCTAGACCGCCAACAGAAAGAGATCTTTTTGTATATCGCATGTCTTTTCAAAGGATATCAATATCGTGAAATAATAGCTCTTCTAGATGCTTGTGGTTTTACAACAACTATTGAGTTAAAAGTGCTTCGAGACAAAGCTCTTATAACTGAAGTCATTAATTTAGTATCTAAAAAGCCCATGGTATCTATGCATGATTTGATACAGGAAGTGGGCTGGGAGGTTGTTCGTGAAGAATCAATAAAAGATCCTGGAAAACGCAGTCGTTTATGGGATCCTGATGATATTTATGAAGTACTGATAAATAATATGGTACGAATCAAAGTTATAGTAGGATCATTTACTTCTCTCTGTTTAATTTTTAATATTTTCATGTGCATATGGCTATTTCTTGTCAGGGGACTGAAACGATTCAAAGCATAAGTCTGGACATGACAACAACTGGAGATCTGTCCTTAAATCCTCAAGTCTTTGCTAGGATGCACAAGATGAAGTTTCTTAAAATATTTACTCAGATATCTTCCTTGGATGCACGTGTTCATCTACCTCAAGGCCTTGAATTTTTGCCCAATGAACTAAGAATTCTTCTTTGGCAGAATTACCCTTTGAAATTCCTGCCTCCAACATTTTCTGCAGAAAATCTTGTTCAACTTGTTATGAACTACAGCAATGTGGAAAAACTTTGGGATGGAGTTGTGGTATGTGCGAATACATATAAAATATTGTGTTTGTTCTAATTGAATTAATTAATTGCTTTAAACTCATTGCATGTTTCTTTCCTTTAATTGTCACAGCCTCTTGTGAATTTAAAGAAATTTGACCTCAGGCACTCTACGAATCTGCTAGCTCTCCCAGATTTTTCTACGGCCAATAATCTTGAATCGGTCTCACTGTTCAGTTGTAAGAACTTGCCTCTTGTTCATCCATCTATTTTATCTCTCCAAAAGCTTGAGTCCTTGGATCTATCATACTGCGAAAAGCTTACCAGTCTTGTGAGTGATATACCTTTGAAATCCCTCCGATCACTCCGTCTAGCTTGCTGCTCAAGACTGAAGAAATTCTCATTGACATCAGAGAACATGAGAGAGTTAGATTTATCAGAGACAGCTATTGAGGAATTGCCATTGTCCTTAGGATGTCTCAGCCAGCTTGAAACATTATCTCTATGGCGTTGTGAAAGTCTCAAGCATCTTCCAGATAACTTGGTTGGCTTGAGATCTCTGCGTTATCTCAAGGTAACTGGTTGTATGAAACTTCAATCTCTACCAGAGCTTCCACCATCCATTGAAACATTATGGGCTTCAGAGTGTTCTTCCTTGGCGACCGTACCAGTATCTTCTGATCCACTCAACACAAACATGAAGGAAATTCGTCTGGCAAATTGCATGAACTTGGATGAAAATTTGCTCAATGATATTGGATGGAACATTCATCTCAAGCTGATGAATCATTATGCATTTGAACGGGTATCCTCAGAAGACCAGGAGGAGCAAATTGATGTTTATGTTCGAACTGGAGGAATATACCCTGGAAGCAAAGTTCCAAACTGGTTCAAGTATAGAACATCTCAGGCTTCGATAACTATTGGTGTGAAATTCAATATTCCTGATGCCTTCATTTTCTGCGTGGTTCTTTCTCAGTTCCCATTAAGCAGTTTCCTTATCTCCATCGCAGTTGACTGCTTCCTGGAAAACAATGATGGTGAGAAGCTTCATGTTAAGTCTTTGGACCTCGTGTTGCCTGGCACAGAGCTTAATTCAGATCATGTGTGTTTATTTTACGTCGAATGTTTGGGTTTTATAACTGGAAGGATTGAAGAAAGTAGAGACTGTTATGAGCACAAAGTTTCATTCGAATTCTCGGCTCAGTCAGAGGTTGAGCAAGAAGAGGAGGATAAAGAGCAAGAAGAGGAGGATAAAGAGATTGTGATAAAAGGGTGTGGGGTTTACCCGATATATGCCTCGCAACTTAATTTCATAGGGGATGTTAACAGGTTAAAACCCAGAAAAGTTGGAGTTCAGAGCTGTGATGAGCTCCGGCCACTTCCTCCGTTGTTGGAAGCCGGTGAAGCCATTGATGATCCTGAAAGTTCTGGTGAGAAGAAAGATGAGGAAGAGAGAGTCTTTTTAGCTCAAAAATCCAGCGGATATATATTTTCACCACTTCCAACTGGAACATGGAAGAAACCAACTCAAGGCTTGAAAGATCTTGTCAACCTATGATTTTCTTTTAAATTTGATCTGAGCAGCCTGGAAGTAGAATGAAGAAACAGAGAGATTTGCCTGGTTCTTTCTCTGTGTTTTTTAATTCCTCATATGTTGTAGTGGCATTACAAAGAAATAGAAAGAGCTTGTAATTACGTAGATAATTAGAATCTGAGAATGCTTACATGCGACATTTATAAAGGGACTGTAAAAAATGGATCAAATAACCCAATGAAGATCACTGTCTCGTGCATGAGTCAGTGTTTGTTTGTCAATTCCGAAGTCCAAACTAAGCCCCAGGCCAAACGCAAATTATCACTTCAGAGCTGTACGCAAAATGGAATGAATGCAGTGTTAACTGTTAAGTGATATTAGGATGAGAAATATTTTTTTTCTAACCCTGAATAACTTGTGATAAAGAGATGTAATAAATGTTTTGTATTTCAATTTTAGTACTATGTAAAAAAAATTAAAAATAGACTAACAGAAAAAAAATGTTTTTCAAAGCCATATTGAGTTTGGTAATTTGCATCTCTTTTTTTTTTAATTTAATAATTTTTGTTATGTATAATAATACCATAGCAATCAATAAAGATTGGCTCATATGAACATGAATTTTGTTGTCCATCCATGCTAAATCTATTTTTTTATAGCATGCTAAATCAAATCTTTAACATGCATCTATTTATCTTTTTAATAATTTGCATTGCTTTAAAAAAATAATTTTAATCAGAATAGCATTGGAAAACAGCCTGAGCATTATAATTTTATTATATAAGCATAACAACAAAAATATACGAAATTAAAAAAAAATCAATATAGCTGGTTCTAACTCTGAGCTATTAAATCTCTTTGATGAAGAATCTGGTTTTAAATACCTTGTTTTTCCTCTCTTACTCAGTTTCGTTCCTACAATGAAAGCCAATGCAAGAACACACGATAAAAGACCCAATCGATCATGGAAGCAGGTCACTGTCTCAATGAAGAGGCAAGTAAAAGTAAAAACGACATGGAACAGCATTAATTTGAATGGAATCAGACGAACTGCAAGACAAAAACACATGAAAAGGGCATGTGGCTGCAGTTAAAAAAAAAAAAAAAGACTCTGATACAATGTTAGGAATAAAGAGAAAGAAAAAAAATATTGAAAATAAAACTGGGATGTATTTTGAAATGAGATGAGTATATCAATACATAGAAAAAAAAAAAAGAACAGTGGATCATAATAAAAATAATAATACAAAGAGAGAGATATACAAATCAAATCATATTTACAAAAATATTTAGTCATATTAATAAAAAAAATATCAACAAATTTGAATAAGATTTGCAAGCATCAACAATTAAACCTTAGAAAAACATATGAACAATAATACAAGATATGACAATGGTACATCTTGTCAACGATGAACGATTCAAAAACAAAATGAATGAACAAGAATAAAAGATATGTCAATGATTCACAAAATGATTTATGAACAAGAATACGAGATTGATCCACAGAAAAAAATATACAAACAAAATTTTAAATTATAACCCTGAACTAGTAAATCTCTTTGATGAACAATCTGATTTTAAATATCTTGATTTTTTTCTCATATTCATACAATTTTTTCTTTAATAAGATAAAAAAAGCAAAAAATTGAGAAAAGTGTCAATGTTTTATTTTTATTACTGATTTGGGATTGAAAAAGTAATTATCTCTTTTTCTTAATTTAATTATTAAAAAGAAAGTTTCACGTTTATTTTATTTTTCAATTTTATTTTATGTATGAGCTTTTCGTTTAAAACAGCAATGTGCTCCACCCATTGTCGTTTTGCCAGAGGCAGATACGACTTGCGATTTCATCTTCGCCAAAAGCCAAAGCATCAAAACGATTAGGGCAAGTAAGAGTCGTCTGCTTAACTTCCTCCAGCTGCTTGTCGTCGATCTCCCAAGTCTTATTTGAAGGGTATAAAAAGGTACAATCGTTTCATGATTCTCCTTAGCTCACCCGCGCGTCCTTGCGATTGGGGCTTACTGCTTCTTGATAAAACAATAAACCTGAAAGTAAATTGTTTCAAACTTTCAGCAGAAAACTCGCGACCTTTTTGTGGTTTCTGTAGTTTGCTTTATAACACGAAATGTGGAATGGAAAAGTTCAGTTGGCTTCAACAGTTGAACTTTATTTCACGGAGACTGGTGTGCTTGGCTGGTTTTCGTGGAAATTTAAAATTTTTCTTCTTTAAAAATTCCTTAACTGCAAATTTGTTGCGACTTTCCCCCTAGTGATAATTTAGCTTGGGATCCTTTACAAAACCTTCATAGCATGAATAAAGTTCACCATGTTCAACAAAATCAAGCTAATGTATTACCTGAGTCCCTGAATTAAGAGAGAAAATATCTATCAGAAGTATTTTGTTGCCAGTTGGTTCTGACGTGGATTCGTTGTCGCTGTGTTCGGCTCTAGTCATGGACCCGGAGCGAGAGAGAATTAAAAGTGGATGTCAGAAGATTCTGGAAGGAATAGATTCAATGTCTTTGGTAAATTTAGATGACCAGCAAGTACACTCATTGGTAATGATGAGAGAAATAGCCCGTGGGGTTGTCGATGATAGAGATAGAAAGGTAAGAGAGATCAGTGGCTGATGAAGTTTTAACTTTAATTTCCTTGTCCTGGGAGCCACCCTCATAAATTTCATGATGTTTTCAGGTGACAAAGAATGACGTGCTTAGCGCATTGCGCAACAGTATCGAGAAAATGGTTCATAGAGCTTCTTTCATGAAAAAAGCATTTTGGATTATAAGCCAATATTGTGTCTCAATTGACTTGGTGCAATTTGCAGGTGTGTGCATCCAGGGATATTATTGAAGTAATAAGCAGGGTGTCGTTTGAAGGCTTGGATGACCAAAGAGTGCATTTAGTATTGAGGATGAAAGAAATTGCACATGGGATTGCTGATAAACAAGCAAGAGCTGCAATAACTAGGCATGACATGCTTGCGGAACAAGTAAGGGGTGAAGACATCTTAGTAATTTTTTGATTTCCTTTGTCTGTCTAGAATTCTTCTTAAGGTAAATTGCTCAGTTTTACAGGTTGCGGTTGGTTATGACGGGATAGGTTATAGTCCCATGGCTGAGTCAGCAAAAACCAGCAATGGTGATGTCCTGATAGATGGGGGACAAGGCATGATAAATGAAAATGAGATGTTGGAGGTAGAACATGTGTTAGGACTTGAAAATGGAATAGATGAAGTACCGGAGTCCCTGTTGCCATCTTCCTTTCAGCAATTTCTTCTGTGGCCTCCTGATGATTGCATCACCTTAGAGTGGGTTCAAGACATGATGTTCACTCTTGAGCAGGCTTCACAGAAGATGTTGCCATCTGAGTTCTACCATGTCATACCATCAATTTTGGTAGATAAATTGACAGATTCTGCTCGCAGTATACTATGTAAAGAACCAAATTGTGTGGAGATCAATTGTCAAGAAGATTCAAGGGTCATTGTAGTAGGCGACATCCATGGGCAGTTTTATGATTTACTGTTTCTTTTTAAGCATATTGGCATGCCTTCTGAGAGCCAGGTCTACGTTTTCAATGGAAATTATGTAGATAAAGGAGCATGGGGTCTGGAGGTTTTTTTGGTCTTGCTAGCTTTGAAGGTAACATGATGGCAATTATTTTTCTTGTATTTTGATGTCCCTGATAGTTTTAGTGATGGTGATAGCTGTACTCCCATCAAGTGTAATTTAAAAAAAAAAAAAAAAAGAACAGTGCCTTGTGGTATTAATTATATAACCTTTTAACTATTAGTAAATAATACGCCACAGCGTGTTTTACTCACTCAAACATAATTACTAATGAAAGCCTATCATTTTGTTTTTCAGGTCTTGATGCCTAACAGAGTATATCTACTACGTGGAAATCATGAATCAAGATATTGCACTGCAAGATATGGTTTTAAGAAGGAGGTGCGGACAAAATATGGTGGCCAAGGTGAAGATGTATATAATAAATGCCTAGAGTGTTTCAAGGAACTTCCATTAGCTTCAGTTATAGGTGGCTGTGTTTATACTGCTCATGGAGGGCTTTTTCGTAGTATAAAGGCTGCCCCTTTGCGAAAGCCAAAGAGAAAGAAGACTCAAAGAGTGGATCTTGGCTCATTAACTGAGTTATCCGAAGTTAAAAGATCTTCTGTAGATTGCCCTCATGAAGGTCCTAGCGTATTATTGAGTGACGTTGTTTGGTCAAAACCATCTAAAAAGGATGGCCTGAGGGATAATACAGGTCGGAAATTAGGTCTATGGTGGGGTCCTGATTGCACTGAAGCTTTCTTAAAACAGAACAGATTGAAGGTAATATTTAAATTTTTTGTGACTAACATCTAATACTGAGAACTTGTTCATTTTGTTATCACTAGTCACATGGATTTTGAATTCCTGACCTCTAACCATTAACCCTGTACATTAGGCCTACCAAATTGGCAGTGCAAACTTGAGCATCTCTATTTCTTGAATTACTTTTTTTGTTTTTTTGTTATCAGGAGCCTTTGAATCTTAAATACAACCTCCATCCCACCTTACCCTTGCACATCTATATTCTTGCCTGGTTCATTACAACTACCATGGGTCAAATTATTAAAGATCTAAAAGCCAGTCATTGAACTTATTGTAAGATGTATAGAAATGTTTATCGCCTATCATTGTTGGCAATGCCAATCATTATTCAAGACAGATTGCATGATGAAAGCTTGAAGATCCTTATCATTTAGAAAAACATTTTTTTAATCTTTGAAATATCCTGATTCTTTACTTTTCCTTGTTTAGCTTTAAAACTCCTTTTCTGCTAATATTCTGTGGTGCATTATTTCATGCATAGCTGATCATCAGATCACATGAAGGACCTGATGCAAGGGTTGGTCAGGATGATTTTGGGGATATGTTGTGTGGATACAGCTTGGATCATGACGGAGAATCAGGAAAATTATATACACTTTTCAGTGCTCCTGACTACCCACAGGTTCATGTTTTCAGTCGTAACTTTCTATATCATTGAGCAAAAGTTTAGCATTAGTTACACCTGTGGCAGTTCTATTGGTGATATCTTAATATTTTGGTTGAAGACTGAAATAATTTTACCTCCTAATTTGTAATCACCAAAGATTCAATCTCAGTAATAGTTATATTATTAATATTAGTATAAATTAGCTATTTTCAATCATTAGCTACTGAGGCACTTCTCTATGTGTAGTAACATATGTCTGTCAAAAAATATAGTTTGTGGTAGTTCATGAATGACATCATCATTTCTAGATTTTCTTTTATTAAGCAGAACAGTAAACTTGTATGGTATTTATCTTTTACATGTTAAAATAGTTTGATTTACGCATGCACCTGTAACCTGGTATCCATCATGGTCACTCTGAGCATGTGAGACGGTTTCAACTTTCAAGATAGATGATGCTTGATTTGAAATTCCTGTAATGACGACATGGTTACATTTGCATCTGCATCACAAGTTGAAATTTTGCCCAATATTCAAGAATATGAATTTTTTTGGTTGCTAGCAACTCGTCACTTGCTCTGCGTGGTAAAGGATGCAAGCATAATAGTAATATTTTAGAATTCAAAGGCAAAAAATTTGATGCACATTTTGTGTTTGAATGATGTGTTAGAAAGCCCCTGATTATCTCCCCTGATTATCTCCCTTGATTCTCTCTATTTATTGCCCATGATATTAGCTAGAAGATATATTTCCTGATTTATTGAGATATTGCAATATATGTAATTTATTGAGATTGATTGTAACCGGATATTATTTTCTCATCCGGACTCTATATATTGTAACTCAATCATATGGAATAAGATATGAGAATGAAATATTCAGCAAAGTAAACATGGTATCAGAGCATAGGGTTCCTCCTGAACCCAGAAAAATTCGTGCGTCGCTGCCATGAGAGAGAGAGAGAGAGAACGCGAGGAGAGAGAGAGAGAAAGTGAGGCGTCCCAGATCTGAAGCCAGGAGCTGACCGTGGACGACACCGCCCCTCCAGTCCTCACCGGCGTCCTCAGATCGGCGCATCCCTTGAAGACGACGCCGAACGGAGCTGCGCGTGAAGCCCACGCGCCGCCACTGCCTCTGCGCGTGAATTGCACGCGCCGCCGCCGGAAAAACCAACAGTGCCTCCCAGAGATCCAGAAAATGAACCCATCAGAATTCCCACCCCTTTTTGGGTCCGTTCGTAATATTCCAATGGCCCTTATGTCCGGTACATCCTCAAATACTCAAAGCACTCCTTCTTCACCTTTAGTCACCTCTCAAGCCTCTGATCCAGAACCATCCCTAACCTCTGAACATCAAGCTATGGTGGTGGCTCACAAACTTAATGGTAGCAACTATCTCCAATGGTCTCAAAGTGTATTAATGTATCTACGTGGGAAGCGTAAGGAGAAATATATCAATGGAGAGGCAAAACAGCCTTCACATAATGACCCCAAATTTGACACCTGGTTTGCTGAAAATAATCAGGTGATGTCTTGGCTGTGCAACTCAATGACTCTTGAAATCAGTGAAGGATACCTCTTGGCAAGCACAGCTAAGGAAATCTGGGACGCTGCTAAGAGGACTTACTCCACACTAGACAACACTGCAGCCCTATTGGATCTAAGGAGGCAGCTCAAAGATCTGAAGCAAGGAAACTTAACTGTAACACAATATTACAGCACTTTAACGAAGATATGGCAGCAGTTGGATCTCTTTGAAGTTCATCCTTGGAAGGACATGGATGATGCTAATTACTACAGACACCTGGTGGAAAAGGGACGAACCTATGACTTCCTATTGGGTTTGAATGATGTCTTTGAAGAAGTAAGAGGCCGAATTATGGGTCTAAAACCGCTTCCCTCCCTATTTGAAGTCTTCAGTATGGTCAAGTTTGAAGAAAGCCGGAGACACCTCACTCAGGGTAACCAAACCCCAGTAGATGGCTCAGCATTAGTCATGAGGAGGTCCCCAACATTCGAGGGATCTGAGAGAGAGGGAACAAGTGGTGCAATCACTGTAACAAGAAAGGCCACACCAGAGACGAATGTTGGAAACTACATGGGAAACCAACCCAAGGGAAGCAGAAACAACGGGAAGATAGAAAAAGCCACCACACCTCCTCTGAAGAAAAAGGTGATGAGGGAGACCAGTTGACCAGAGAAGAGCTTCAAATGCTTCGTAAGATACTTGAAAAACAAAACAAATCAAAATCAGTTCCCAACGTGAACTTGATTCAGTCAGGTAATTCTATTATAGCCCTTAATGCAATGGTAACTGGTGATGAAACCTGGATTGTTGACTCCGGTGCTACAGACCACATGACTGGTAATAAGTCCCTCTTCAAAACCCTCAAATATTGCCATGAGAACCTTAGGGTAAAAGTAGCAACTGGACTATATACTAAAGTTGAGGGTGTTGGCATTGTGGCCCTATCTGATGATCTGGAAATCCATAATGTTTTGTTTGTTCCTGCTCTTACCTGCAACCTTATATCTGTGAGCAAATTGACTAAAGGACAAGTATGTCGGGTAATCTTTGATGATGTTAAGTGTGTTTTTCAGGATTCGACCTCGGGGAGGAAGATTTTGACTGCTAAAGAATGGGATGGACTCTACTACTTTGAAGGAAAAGATATGAAGACTGCAGGAGCCAAGAAAGCTATGGTTAGCTCTAATTCTCAGAATAAAAATGTAATGTTGTGGCATCAAAGATTAGGCCACCCCAGCTTTGATTATATGAAGCATGTGTTTCCAACTTTATTCAATAAAAATTCTTTTCCTTTCCAATGTGAAACGTGTCAAATTGCCAAACAAACTCGCGCCTCTTATCCCAAACATACTTACAAACCTACTGCCCCGTTTACATTGATTCATACTGACATTTGGGGACCAGCCAAAATCAACACCCGAACAGGCACAAAGTGGTTTATTACATTCATCGATGATCACACCCGGGTCACATGGGTTTACCTTATGAAAGAAAAATCCGAAGCTTTACAAATTTTCAAAAACTTTCACTCTTTTGTGAGAACCCAATTCCAAACTCCCATCAAAGTTCTAAGAAGTGACAATGCCAAAGAGTATGTGAGTGGAGCCTTTAGGGAATTTCTTGAGCAGGAAGGAATCCATCACCAAACCTCATGTGTCTATACTCCTCAACAAAATGGAGTTGCTGAGCGGAAAAATAGGCATCTTCTAGAAGTAACCCGAGCTATTATGATGGAAAGAAATGTTCCAAGTCTGTTTTGGGGAGATGCTGTGCTAACCGCTGCTTATCTCATCAATCGAATGACCTCAAAAATTCTCCATTTCACTACCCCCATTCAAAAACTCCTCGAGACCTACCCCACCTCACCTATCATCAATACCATCCCTCAAAAGGTCTTTGGGTGTGTCGTCTTTGTTCATAAACATGATGGGGGCAAACTTGATGCTAGAGCAGAAAAATGTATTTTCCTAGGGTATTCCTCCACCCAAAAGGGATATAAGTGTTATTGTCCTACTACCAGAAAACTCATAATATCCAAAGACACAGTTTTTTATGAGGATGATGCTTATTATCCCAAATTACCCATTCAGGGGGAGCACTATGGAGTAGAATGGCTAATTACACCTGAACCTACGACCAATCCCAACACACATCTTACCACCCCTCTTGAACCTGCCATACCACAAGAAGAAATCACTGTCCCTGAACCGGAACCAAAACCCCTAGTCCTACACCTCCACTAGAGCACCAAAACCCCACAAACACTCCTCACCCGACTCACCCAATGGAAACGAATGCTGAAATTGATGCAGGGGTGACAGAGCGTTCAAGTCCTCAATCAGGTGAGCAGGATAGTAGTAGTAGGGTTCCTTCCATTCCAAGGCAGCAACATGATTCCAATCCAGAGTTGGATCCTGAAGAGCTAGGATGGCCCATTGCACTTAGAAAGGGGGTAAGATCATGTACTCAGCATCCTATTCAAAAATTTGTCTCCTATGGCAATTTATCTGCTAGAATGCAAACCTTTGTGGTGAATAGCTCACAGGTGAAGATTCCAGAAACATTTCAACAGGCTATGAAAGATCTTAATTGGAAACGTGCCGCATATGAGGAGTTGAGAGCCTTAAAGGAAAATAACACGTGGGATATTACCACACTTCCTAAGGGCAAGAAAGCAGTGGGTTGCAGGTGGATCTTCACCCCTAAATTCAATCCTGATGGAAGTATCAACAAGTACAAAGGAAGATTAGTTGCAAAAGGGTACACCCAGACTTATGGGATTGATTATCAGGAAACGTTTGCTCCTGTGGCAAAGTTCAACACCATCCAGGTACTCCTGTCTCTAGCTGCTAACCTTGATTGGTCTCTACATCAACTAGATGTGAAGAATGCTTTCCTAAATGGAGATTTGGAGGAGGAAGTGTACATGGAAATCCCAGATGGAGTAATAGCTCCACCCAACTCAGTTTGCAAACTGAAGAAATCACTATATGGCCTGAAACAGTCTCCACGAGCGTGGTTCGACAGGTTTGCCAAGGCAATCAAAAGGTTTGGCTACGTCCAAGGACAAGCTGATCACACTCTCTTCGTTAAACACAGTAATGGAAAGGTAACGATCCTAATTGTGTATGTGGATGATATAGTCATAACTGGCAGTGATGAAGTTTCTATCTCCCAACTCAAGAAAGCTCTAGCTAGGGAATTCCAAGTGAAGGACCTAGGACAAATGAAGTACTTTCTTGGAATGGAGGTTGCAAGATCCAAAAAGGGTATAAGTGTGTCTCAACGAAAGTACACACTTGATTTGCTCCACGAAACAGGAATACTTGGGGCTAAACCTAGTGAGACGCCTATGGAAGAATCATGTAATCTGGAAGTGAAACCAGACGGGGTACCAGTCAACTCAGAAAGGTACAGAAGACTTGTAGGTAAACTGATCTACTTGACTCATACAAGGCCTGACATTAGCTATGCTGTTGGAGTAGTAAGCCAATTTATGCATCAACCCCAGGAAGAACATATGGAAGCAGTATACAGAATCCTGACCTACCTCAAACTCAATCCTGGAAGAGGAATATTCTTTAAAAAGGGGAGTACAAGGAACATAGAGGTCTACACTGATGCAGATCATGGGAGAGCTGTGGATAACAGAAGATCTGTCACAGGATACTGCACTTATGTTTGGGGAAACCTAGTCACTTGGCGAAGCAAGAAACAGACAGTAGTCTCAAGGAGTAGTGCTGAAGCTGAGCTAAGAGCTGTAGCCCTGGGGGTATGTGAAGGAATGTGGGTGATCAGACTTCTGAAGGAATTGAGAATTTCCTATGAAGGACCTATGAACCTCTGGTGTGACAACCAAGCCAGCATTGAAATGACCAAGAATCCTGTGTATCATGACCGAACAAAGCATGTTGACATTGATCGACACTTCATCAAAGAAAAGGTTGAAGATGGCACAATTAACCTGAGCTATGTGCGCTCAACTGATCAGATTGCTGACGTCATGACCAAACCTTTAGCCAGAGTCAAGTTTGAAGGGCTTCGAAGCAAGCTGGGAATGGTTGACATTTACTCTCCAGCTTGAGGGGGAGTGTTAGAAAGCCCCTGATTATCTCCCTGATTATCTCCCTTGATTCTCTCTATTTATTGCCCATGATATTAGCTAGAAGATATATTTCCTGATTTATTGAGATATTGCAATATATGTAATTTATTGAGATTGATTGTAACCGGATATTATTTTCTCATCCGGACTCTATATATTGTAACTCAATCATATGGAATAAGATATGAGAATGAAATATTCAGCAAAGTAAACATGATGAAATGTAGCATAGTGAAAGTAATCATAACTATAAGAGCATATGTAGAAGTATTTTTATTTTTACAAAGGTCTACTGTCCATCAATGTTGCAGTTTGGTAAGAGGAGATATAACAATGAAGGAGCATATGCAATTTTGAAATCGCCTGATTTTGAAAGTCCTAGTTTTCACTCGTTTAAATCTGCAGAAAGACCAAAGGTAAGATCGTCTTGTCAACACGGTTAGCATTTTTTTTTTTTTTTAATTTCTACAAGAGATCAAATGCGAGGTAAAAATAAATTTGTTAAAAAATGAGTTTTCTATTAAATTGAATGAGAGATTACTTTTTTATTGGTGTTATTTTGTCTCTGCAAAGTTTAATTTGCTTAGGAAATATGCATGTATCTTCTGATTATGAGCATAAATTAGTCAATAGTTTCTATGATCTTTTGTCACCTGTTTGGACGTATATGACTTCTATGCTACTTGCTTCTCAGGTGGATCCTTATATTTATTATGATGCTGATGAAATGGACTTCAGCAAACTAGACTCTCCGCAAATGGTATGTGATAATAGAGACTTAGAAAAATACTTCTTAACTTTGCTTTTCATTACATAGCTATAGGCAGATGAGTATAATTGTAAACTATAAGGCATTCTAAACCGGACTGGTAGGTGCTATAGTCACAAGTCACAACTCAATCATGGAGTTCGCAAAAAAGATAAAATCAACTTTTCTCTGCACGCCACTGTATGGTTAATTGTCAAACAAACCAATGGTGTAGATGGGGCGGTTGTAGGACTATTGCTCCATGATCGCATCACTCTTGTAGCACAGATAGAACACAGGGTACTGTATGTCAAATTTTGTCCTTATAACCCTGGGGCGTTATGATCAAATCAAGCTTATTCTAAGGAGTTAGAAGAGGAATCAATCCAATATGGGAGGTGCTTGGTGTCGTCTTCTTCTTCTTCTTCTTTTTATGTTCCTTCTGCACCTTGAATCTTTATTGTGCCTAGCATATAAGTTGACCATGCTTTTATTCAACGCTTGGATCCCTAAAATAAAATGCCAGAACATGAATTTTCCCCATTTAAACCAAATAAACTTTATTCGGCTCCTACTTATTAAGATGCTGGAATATGATCTTTTTCCATTGCTGCTTATTGTATTGGGTAGAAAAGCCTGGAAATGCTGACTCAACTTACTTCTATGGATAAAGAATGCACAGGCCTCAACCTCTGGTATTTCATCTGCCCAAAGATCTTATCCAGCAGGCGTGATGCCAGAGTTTGACTTCGCGGCATTGGGCATTTATAATGCCCCATCTTGGAATGTCCAGCTTCCTGATGGTTCAGGTGGTACCCAAGCTGTGCAGCTTCCAAGGGCTCCTCTGGTGGAAGGACTGCCTCTTCCTCAAAACATACAGGTTTAGTCGTTTGAGTCATTTGACATTTTGCATAGTACTGCCTATCCTAATACTAAGTTTCTTTCTGCAGGAACCTCACAAGGCTGCTTATGAGTATTTGTTTGAGCTCATTGCTTCCTTAAAGCTTGTGCTTATGAACAGGGTGAGTTCAGACATTTCTTCTTCAATAAAGAGAATGAAGTAGCCCAAGCCAATTTTAACAGGACATACGTGTCAAAAGCGAGTTTTGTTAAAAAAAGAAAATACGCCTGACATGCTTATATGCCTGTGCGATTGGTTTGGTCTGGGGAGGGAATTTTTCTCATATTTTGAGTTGCTGAAACAATGATCTTCTAATTCAGGAGACTGATAACCGGACAAGTCAGTCAGCTTTGCGAGGTAGAGCTAGAAAACGAAAAGGAGGAAGCAGTAATTAGATAGGGTAGTGGCCAAGGCAAGATTCTACCTGAGGTCAGGCATTAGGTGCATTATTTTTAGTTGACTCCATGTTGTTATTTGGCTGATATATTTAGTAGAATCCACTTCAACTCTTTGTGTTCATTCTTCTCTCTATATGTGATTATTTAGAAGTAATATGGAAATTCAGGTATCAACAGAGAAGAAATTTCACGCGCCTGTCATCCCAAACTGATGATCATAAAGCACAGAATAATTTATTGGCGAATGAATGAAAATGGCGAACTTTCCAAAATACAAGAACATAAATTTAATTTTTTGTAATATTTACCAGTCATGAATTGTGTAACTCATGAATCTACATCTACTTACATAAGATTAACTTAGCAGCATGCTAAATTCACTATTATATTGGCCAAAAAATTGCTTTTATTTTCTGTTAACTTTTTTCTTTGAGGCTTAATTGGTTAACTTAATGTGTTTGAAAAAGTTGTTGGTATTAATCGTAGTTGTTCAAAAGCTATTGAAGTTGTTCAACAAAAAAAGGAAGGAAAAAAAAAGTTGTTGAAGTCTGGTTTTTAATAAACTAAGTTTCACATTAAAACACTGTATTTTATAAGATATGATCAAAAAGTAGCTGAATGTTAAAAGCTGATTCGGTGTAGATCCGTATCTCAATACGCATATATTTTCATTAAAACTTGAAAAAAAAAAAAGGTGAAATACTACCCCCGAAGATTAGATTTAATTTTAAATATTAAATCTCAATCATTTTTATTTCTTAAATTTATAATTTTTTTCTAATATATTTCTATTAATTATATATAGGGTTAAGATGTACTCCATTTAGCATCCCAAAATTTTTTTTTGGGTGCACTAGGTATTTTAAAATTTTTTATAGTGTAATTTTAATTTTGAACTAATTTTTATGATACAAACTTTTGATTAGGCAAACTTTTGACCAAAAATAATCCATGTGGCATCTGAGCGAGACTACTGTATTTTTTTTTTCCCCAGGCAAGAATTCATCGCCTGAAAAAAAAAAAAAAAGAAGACATTTCAAAAGTCTTGGCTTTAACTTCATCACGGAGCAGGGAGAAAGCACGGGTTCAGATCCTCTCAGCTCTCCTTATCCCCCAGAAGCTCTAAATCGTATCCGTCCAATCAATCTAAGGGATCACAAAAAGACACATCATCTAGCTTTTAAAAGTTTATCTTCACCGTCCAATATATTATAATCGTAGCCGTCCGCTCAAATCCTGTTTTAACTGTTTTTGCCAAACCCCCACGATCTGTTCTCTCGCACTCGCGACATCACGTTCTCCTCCACAGCCCGCTCCGGCTTCATGTTCTCCGTTCCTCACTCGAAGCACGGCATCTCTTACTCTTCTGTTCACCTCCTCAGATCAAATTCTAGTTTAGCATGTGAAGCAGTTGCAGGCCTTTTGCGATCCCTAACTCCAGTCAATCTATCCAGGAATTCGGTCAGAGAGCGGAGCAATAGCAGAGATAAATAGACTGCTGCGGCAGTCTTCCTTGACTCTTGAGGTATAGGAATAGGTATACTTCCACGTGCATTTATCCATATTTCTTGTTGAAGATTATTGAGGATTATGTGGATGTCATTTCCACAGGTAAAGAAGCTGGGTATGAATGCATTGTCGAATTTATCTGTGGATGAGAAGCTCCGCATTAAACTTGCAAAGAGTCATTTGCTGCCATTAATTATCAAGTACCTGGAAGACGAGGATGTAAAAGTGAAGAAGCTGCAAGAGGCATGTTGGCAAATTTAGCTCTGAGCCATGTTAACCACAGCATTTTGGTTGAAGCAGGGTCATATAAAATTTGGTGAGACTTCCCTAAGTTTACATAGTATTAAAAAGATGGTTATTTCTATAATAAAATATTGGCATGACATGCTGGTTTTATATGGAGGCATGTAAATCCCGTCAACATAAATTCACTAAAACCCCATAAGAATATTTGAGGGAGGGGTGAATGAAAGAATCGTAAGAAGAATGTCGTGTTTTCATTGGGACTTAATTCTTAATGCTTACAAAACTATAGATCAAATTTTCCTGCAGGCAAAGTTCTTAACTTCTGATTCTAAAGGACCCAAGGCGACAATCCATTTTCTTGATCCACCAGCATAGACATATCATGAATGCTCTGTAACCTATCTTCCTTATCGTTTTATGAATTGAAATGAAGCTTGTGTCCATGAACTCCATCTCCCTCTTGTTCCCGTGGTGGATTCGTTTTTAAAAAATTTCATGGTAATGTGGTACGTTTAAACAGTCATGGGTTTTATGGTGCAAGACTATTATTCTTCATATATATATAGGGCCATGTTGATGATTTGGAATTGGTTCTTTCCTCTCGTCATATCCATATACAATTATACATGCTATCTTGAGCGACGAGCATGTACAGGCTTGACGTATAATTGCAATAGAATGGAAGAATTGAGTTCGAACACCACAAACATTACATGTTTGAGCCCCATCTATCTATCTCATTTCAGATTTCTCGTAGCACAAAAGCAGTCAACTGCAAACGGGGAAAATGTAGCTTTTACCTGGAATAGTACTTAACCCATGAAAGTAATTTACTTCTAGTAAAATTTTCCTTTGGTTATTTTGTTTCTGATAAAATTTGCAGAAGATCGACGTCATGTTCGCAATTGAGGGTTCAGTGCGTTTTAAAAAAAGCAACAAAATTAGACGGCTACTATTTAATAAATTAACGGCTCAGATGAGTTTCTGAGGGATACTGAGAAAAAATGCCGCTGAGGGAATTTGCTTCCTACGACAGTCATGAATATGCATGAGATTTTAACGGTCCCGTGAGCTTACAATGCTAATTTTCAGAAGCCTCTGACCACGAAAAGAAACAAGATTTGATGAACACTCAGGCAAGAGCTGACTTTGCTGAGGATACAGTGGACAAGGTCATCAGGTGGAGACTAAAAAGAGCCACAACCTTCTCTGCCTCCAGCAACCATGTTTTCCGGCCTAACCCAGAAATCGATCCCCACCTGCATGAAACTTCTTCTCTGCGATTTAGGGCTTCGGCATTTACTTACCCAGAAATCATTCCCTTGTTCAGTCGCCGTCTGCGTTGCGAGCTTAAGAGCAAACTCTTCTTCGCGATTCAGGGTGTCCATCATGGTTCCGGGGGTCGACCGTATTTTTTCTGTGTGTTCTGTGATGAAGTTAAAGCCAAGATCCTTGAAGTGTGCAGGATGCGATCACTCTTTGTTTGGGAAAAAAATTCAATAAAACAACTGTTGCCATGTAAGCAATCTCACTCAGATGCCACGGATGATTTTTTGTCAAAAAGTTTACCTAGTCAGCATTTTAATGGTCAAAATTCAATTTCTGCTAGATTTGGATGAGATTGCACTAAAAAAATTAGTTCAGAATTGTAATTGCACCATAAAAAGCTTTAGAATACCAAGTGCACTCCAAAAAAAAGAAAATTGGAGTCCTGACCTTTTTACATATTGCGAGGTTTTTTGTGGTCTTGCTTGCTTGGAAGCTAACATGATGGCAATTATTTTTCTTGTGTTTTGATGTCCCTGATAATTTTAATAACGGTGATAGGGGCAAAAAAAAAAAAAAGGATAGTGCCTTGTTGTATTAACTATATAACCCTCGTACAATATTTCTACCAAATTGGCAGTGCGAACTAACTCATACGTACTTCCAAAATCTTTCAATTCATATGTACTTTGGACAAAGTAACTTCAAATAGTGCCATTATGTAACGAACAAGATTTACGGAAAGATTATTTGAAGCCTCGGCAATTCTCATGAAAAAAGATTTTGGGATTCATCTCCAATTTATAGAAACGTCAAACAAGAATACAAGACGTGAACTCTGACAATTCTTACAAAAAAGATTATGGGACCTTAGCAGACATTTACAGAAAAATTTATCCACATCAATACATGCCATCGAATCACGACTTCCAGAAAAATGTATTAGTAAAAGGTTGAGTAACTGGCATTGATTCACATTCAATATTTCAATTACCTGATCGAGGGCCCACCCTTAAGTTGCTCCATAGGAGAGGCAGTAGACATACCCATTCCCTTTCCCCCTAAGAACGCCGCAGCGGCCTCCTTCCCTTTTGCCCTGGAGAATTCGGTGGCGGAAAATAACGTGAAAAAAAAAGGTTAGAAATTATAATATTTTAATTTAGAAACTTAAGAGGTCAAAAATTCAAAAAAAAAAAAAAAGTAGTTCATGATTCTGTATTTTGCAAATGTAGTCAATGACTAAAATGCCTTGTATCATATTTTTTTAAAAAAATTATCAAACTTGTTATTATTAGTGCATTTCTTATAATTAGTTGTTTAATACTTGTTATTATCAATTCACAACTTGTTAATAAATATCCTATCATTGTCACTACATTTATTGTCATTTATCGTTCAATACTTGTCATTGTCAATTCATAATTTGTTGATACATTATTTTATACAAAAGATATTTTTATTATTTAATTATGTTCACAAAATATTAGATTAGACATCATTTTTTTTTGCTTTGAAATTTTGACTTCTTAAATATCTAAATGAAAACATTACAATTTTTAACTTCTCTTTATATTATTTTTCCAAATTTTTAAGATGATAGTGTTTGATTCAGTTTTTAGTATCATTTATTCTGACAACTATAAAATTTATGACCCACTTTTGTTTAAATTTAAAACTAAATCACATACCTGTCATTGATTTAAATCAATTAACTTGCGATGTGTGTGTGTGTGCGCAAGACTTTAGACATAGTAAATGATTAATTACTTTTTAGCCTGGCTGGAAGATTACCCGTTAAATCATCAGTAATTAAGAAGAAAAGAAAGTTGTAGAATATGTCATCAATTCAATTATGCATGCACGATATGTAATCCAATACAATCATTATCGAAGTAATTATGTCCCAATTGTCAATAGCTGGCGGTCAAGGATGGATCGCCAGAGAAGAAAACTGTATTCAACAAAAAGATGAAAGATTCAAAATCATGTACCTGTGCCCCTTAACCTCTTTCATTACTGTTTCTTCTCTTTCCTTCTAAAGATCCCATTTTTACAAGTAATCTCACCCTCTCTCTGTTTCAGTACTTTGAAGCTTTTCTCTTCCCTTTTGGGTTGTCTCTCTTCACTTTCCCACGTCACGCCGTTACCACCGCTCTATCTATCTATATCCGTTTCTTCCTCCGTTTTTCTTTCAGCTTTCTTGCTGCTCGCTTAGGGTTTCAATTTTGAATCTTTCATTTTTCTTGCGATTATAATTCAGTTTCCGTTTCAAGGAATCTGTGCCATGAGTTCTACTTCTGTCAAGAACAACTTGATGCCTCCGGGCCTCGTTTCCAATCTCCAAGAAGTCCTTCTTAGCAGGAAAGGCGCTGATGAGGGTGACAAATCCAAGGACGATGCTGAAACTCCCGAACCTTCTTTATCTTCGGTTCCTGATTCCACGGAAGTCAATGATAGTTCGAAGCCCATTGTCTTGGTCACAAATAGTGATGGGATTGGGTCTCCTGGCCTCACTTACTTAGTTGAAGCTCTTGTTCGTGAAGGCCTTTACAATGTTCATGTCTGCGTTCCTCAATCGTGGGTTTTTTTTTTTCCCATCTTGATTTATTCATTGTGCTCTGATTTTTGTTGGATTGTTCATCGATATATTCTATTATGCCTCTTTTGCCTCATACATTTCACCTTCCGGGTTTATTGCTTCATTCTGCATTTGCATTATGTTTTCTGTCATCCCCACATATCTCTCGCGTTGTTATTAATCTGGGGTATCGTTGTAATTTGTTAGTTTATAAAATGGTTGCTTTAGGGACAAATCAGTTTCGGGGCACTCTGTAACTATCAGAGAAACGGTGGAAGCAAGGTCTGCTGAAATTGATGGTGCCACGGCCTTTGAGGTTTCAGGTATGACATGTTCGTTTTGCTCCTATTTCTCGCCCTCCCCTCATCTAGGTGTCAAAAAGACTTGAGGAGGCTGCAATCAGGCTTAATTTGTCTGGGAGTTAAATTTGTTCGGAAATCATGCCTTTTGAAGAATTGAAGCTTCGTTAGATCACGTGCTATTCGTCACATTCTCTTAGTGCTAATGAGATTCTACATGTATCATGTTCGTGGGTGCATTGATGTGACTTTTCTGGTGTTACCCTGGTTGTCGAAAAGATCTTTAAAAAAATTATCGTAATCATCCTCAACATCACTGAAAAATAAATCTGACTATTGATTTTTTTTCTGATCGTGGCTGAGCTGATACTTTAGAGTTTCATAACCTTTTTGCAGGTTTGCCGTTTCATAGTTGTGGCTTTTCATACGTCAGAGTTGCACTAATTTCTTATTCTTTTTGTAATTTATGCTTTATTCAGGAACTCCTGTGGACTGTGTTTCGCTCGCCTTATCTGGGGCATTGTTTTCATGGTCAAAGCCTTTGCTGGTTAGTTTTTATATCATAACATTATGCCTGTGCTTATGCCATAATCAACATACTGAAGAATATAACATGGTATGCATTTTAGGTTATTAGTGGAATCAACCGGGGATCTAGCTGTGGTCATCACACGTAAGTTATTTGCCACTGCATATAGAGGAACTTTTAAATACAAGTTTGAGGATACATAACCGCCCCCTTTCCATTCTGTTTTATGGTGTCATTTATAGCGTTCTACATATCTTCAACACTTATATCATTAATGCCCAAGGCCAACGTTTATCTCATGCTTTAGAACACTCCAGGTTCTACTCAGGTGTTGTTGCTGGAGCTAGAGAGGCGTCATTAAGCGGTGTACCATCATTGTCAATATCATTGAACTGGTACTTTGATGGTTTGCTTTTGTATCTAGTTTGACCTGAATATTTCTGCTGGAGGGTTATGAATTGACATCATATCACGTAGGAAGGAGGAGGAAAGTCAAGAAACAGATTTCAAGGATGCAGCGGGAATCTGTTTACCATTAATAAATGCAGCTATCAGGGATATTGAGAACGGAACTTTTCCCAAAAGTTGCTTTCTGGATATAGAAGTTCCCGCGTCTCCTTTGAGAAACAAGGTTTAGAAAGTGGATTGTTACTTGGATTATTTATTCAAATATTTTGCTGTGTTACAGAGATACTTATAGAAAATATTGAGTGAGAATTTTGTTTGATAATCAACTTCCAATCCAATCTCTATATAGATGTTTCGTTTGTGCTTTTAATTATTTTTCCCAGGTGCAAAGGCATTAGCTTACCCAAGTTCTAGATGCTAGAGGAACAGTTAATGTTGTGTGACTCCTGTCATTGATTGTTGTTTCTATTTATTTAATGTTTGCAGAGTCACTTCCTTTCCGTGCACTTGTTTGAGTTCTGAACTGTTTAGCTAGAATATTGCAGTTTCCTTGGATTATCTGTCTACAATAAATGTATAGTGTTAGGATATTTGTGCATCATTGTTAAGGATATTTGTGATTCTATCTCTGCGTTGAATCTCTTGGTTGTTTGAACTTATGCTATTAACTAAACTGCATCATTGTTTGAACTTATGTTTTGTGGTTCTAATGTGAATTTGGTGTTCAATAATTATTTTGTGCAGGGCTGTAGTCTATATCAAATATATTATCCTCGTTCATCTTGTTCTTGAATTTAAGATTCAAGATCTTGGGTTCCTTTTTTGGCTGCATTATTTTAATCAACCATGTTGATTATCTTGTCTATTTATCATGCTTTACTTTGATGGTTTGACCTGTATGGTGAGCTACCTTTGTCCCTTGGAGTTGGATACAATTATAGTTCAAACACAAGCATTTCATTATTTCCTGTCTCTGCAAGCTTGTTTTTTACATGGACGGTGTGTTATTTTATTGGCAGGGTTTCAAGTTGACCAAGCAAAGTACTCAACGATCCACTGCAAACTGGCAAGCAGTTTCAACTAGTCGATATCCTGTTGGTCATTTCTTGAACAACCAACAAGGTCTTGGCCTTCAGTTTGCACAGCTCGGCCGAGATGCCTCTGCTGCTGTGAGTGTCAAAAAAAATTTAATAGTTGTGTTACGTCTACCCATCTGGTATAATCCGAAGGGCTTTCAGTACATCTGTTGATTTTATTATGCTGATATTTTAGCCTTCCTCGTCTTGGTATGCTTCAGGGTGCAGCACGTCGACTGACTACACAGAAAAAGAATTTGGAGATTGTTGAATCTATTGGAGCTGCAGGAAAACCTGATTTCAACAGGGTAAAGAAGTACTTCAGACTAGAGGTAAATAAAAGGGAAGAATGTCTTGTGAGAATTCTGTTAATAATGAAATAAGATATCTTTTTATATGCTGAACACGGAAGATAGTAATTCGTAAAGAAGAGTTTATTATAGAAATGTTTTTGTTTCCCTAGTCACATATGGTTCAGGTTGCTATCTTTTCACCCGTGCATGCGTAATTGTAGCTCTTAAATGTCTTTCTTGGAAGTATACAACTTGTTCATTTCCTCATGGTAAAAGCAAAGATATCTGTATGGCATTGAAATGTCTTGACGCTGTTTGCAGAAGTAAACTTAGCCTTACTCTACTTATATACGCAGTTTTTGGATAAGCAGCATGAAGATATAGATGAGGACCTCGATTACCGTGCACTTGAAAGTGGATTTGTAAGTTGGAGCATTACCTCATCTTCATTGGTTAGATTGTCTCGAGTTTTCACCAAGATTTTTTCAGAAAAATTTAGTGTGGGTCTTATGCATTGCATGTTAGTGACTCAGTAATAGTGTGACTTACTGGATCTTTATATGAAATAAGTTCGTATAAGATGGAAGGGAAAATATATTTTTTAGTCCCTAACTTTGTTTTAATTATCAATTCAGTCCCTAAAATTTGACTCGGGTCGGAAAAAATTATTCCTTGTGGTTTATTTAATACTAACTTATTTTGAGTGGTGAAACTGCAGAGATTGAATTGTTCTGAATCAAAGTTAAGGAACTGAATCGATCATTAATAAAAGGTGTCATAAACCAAAATTTATATTTTCCCAAGATTAAACAATCAAAGGAATGACAAAGAAATATGAGTAAACAGGTCAGAAACGTGTTCCATCAAAAACTCTGCCTTGACATGTTCATGCATGTTCTTGTGTCAGTTTTATAATTATATTTTCTCAATGGACTGATTTTATCCAATATTCTGCCTCCTTTGTATTGCCTCTGACTCATTATGAAATCTGTGATTTGGAGGAGCAGGTTGCTGTGACTCCCCTCTCTCTTTCTCCTCACATTGAGACTGACATCCAAATGGCAGCTTCTGATTGGATCTCTGCCGTGTTTGCCACAGAACAATGATGTAGAATTTCAGCGTGATTGTGTACATTTGAGAGTTTTATGAATATTCTTTTCTCTTTTTTCTTACCTTTAAAAGCAAAGATGGAGTGGAAAGAGGGAGTCACGCCAATTTAATAGTGTGTTTGATTCCGGTACTGATCTGATCTGTTTTTGATGTTTTATTCCCTTTGATTCCTTTGTTTCATTGTTTCAGTTCGTTTTGGTCACATTTGATGTGAAGCAAATGCTTCCTTGTAGTATCATAGCCATAGGCGTGTTGTAACTTGAGTCTGTAGTAAAACTTTGGAACTGTAGTAATATGTAGTTCAAGTTTGGTTCTTTGCTTTTTTATTGAATTCCCTCTGTGGCTAGAGCATTCAACCACTTGATATGTGACGGTTCATAACTATAGTTATTTGCTTCCATAGTTTTGATGGAAATAGTTCGTCTCCATTTTTTTTTTTTAATGTGAGACGAGTTAGATAAATTAATTTAAAAAAATGATAAATATGATATATAGAAATGAATTGAAATCTAATGGCCGTTTTGGGGTCAAAATTAACTTTCTAACTATTCAACATAATTAATTCAACATAATTAATAACAATGAGCATAGTTCCTAGGATTGTAAATATAAACCAGATAGCTAATTTATATAAATTAAAAAAACTAGCAAAAATATTTCTTACTTTAATGATTTACATTGTGAACTGTTTTTATCAATTTCATGCTTCATAAGTGCCATCAATAAAAAAATTTAAAATAATAATAAATATAACTGCCATGAGAGATTTCCCTTTTGAATATATTCTTAAGCATGGATTGATGAGTTTTTTTATTTTTTTGCCTTGAAGAGTGGATGACTTTGTATTTTCATTTATAATGACAAATAATTTGATTGTGCCTATTGTCTAGAATTTGTATTTCATTTTTACACTTTTTTTAGCAGATAAATATATGCATAAAAAAGAAAGTCTTTTTTATACCGGGCAAATCGGAGGCGGTTCTTTTGGGTCGGACCGTTCAACCCGAAATTGAATACCCCGTTGCTCTGGTCCAATTTCTTCTTCCTGCTGCTGCTTCTCAATAGGGTTTAGGAAAGCTTGAGGATTTTCATACTGGAATGGCATCAAAAGCGTTTCTCAGAATTGGCACTTCAATGTTCAATCGGGTTTCACATTCATTTCTTCACCAAGCGCTGTACTCGACTGACAAAATTGCTTCTCGTAGCCTCGATATCACTCCCAGGCTATTCCCATCCGTCTCCAAGCTCCCTAGTTCTTTCGAGATGCCCAATAGCGAACTCGAACATCTCAGCAAGTTCTCCTCAGGTGGCATCGTGTATCCTTGCGGACTGCCCTCGCTTCGGTTCTTCTTACCCGACGGTACATTTTAACGTCGAATGTTTTTCAAATTTAAAATTTCATTGGCATGAGATGTTAATGATCTGATAGCCTTTTTTTTTTTTTATGTGTTTCTATCTTTAAGAAATAGTTTGAAATTTAAAAAGATTAATTTATGGTAACCTTCTTGCTTTATTATGTTAATTGGATTACTTGCAGCTTCGATTTTAGTTGGATAATTCACCTCTTTATGTAGTCATCAAATTAACATTAACTTTGAGAAATAAAAGCTTCTATTTAAGTTGCAAGGTACAACTTTTTGACAAGGAATCAGGATATTTCGAGGTGAAATTTTTTGGTCCTTGTTGTTTAAATAATGGCAACATCAACATGTGTTGCTTGAGGGATTTTTTTTTTTTTTTTGGGGTTGCCTTGTGTATATTGAGGAGCAATATTGCTTGCACATTTGATAACTACGACACGCTCAAAGTTCCCATGCTAGCCAACATTTGTCATGAAATGAGGAGATAAATTACCAAGAAGGTGACTTTATTTGAATTCTTCTTTTTCCTTTTCTTTTCATTGTTCTGCAGGGGCTGGTTCATCAGAAGAGCCAATGCTCTTATTTCCGAAAAGAACATTCCAACCTAGCCTTATACGGCGAAAGAGAAATCATGGATTTTTTGCCCGGTAAGCCACTCAGGTTTTTTCTTTTTGGCTACATTCTTCTTATATCATAAGATAGCAAGAATAACAAACTCTAACGTACTCGTTAAATTGTAGAGATCTGGCACACACTGTAACGTCACTTGAAAATATTCTAATGTAAAGGACTACAATTATACGGGGAAGTAGAAGGAACCATATTGTTTCTCGATAATTATGTCTTACTTTGACTTGTTAGACCTACAGATACAGACTAACACAGATGGGAAGATAATGTGGGAAATCAAACCTTCGATGAAGAAAGAAAACATATGCCTTAACTGAATATAGATATCTAAACTGTGTTTGCTCTGAATTTTTCATAGACTTCAGTAGATAATGTGGGTGTCATCAACCATTTCCTAGAAGCTTTATTATGACTAAAGAGTGATAGGCCGAATGGGCTTGGACTTCTGGCCACGACCCGTCAAAATGAGTGCATGCCATTAGGGCGGAGGACTACTTGCTACATTACGTTTCTGAAATTTAGATTTGTCTGACCTTCTATGTATAGTTAAGGTGTAGAATTGTAGAAGAAAATAGATCTGGGGGTGTTTGGAAAACCCAAAACTATGGTTTCAGAAACACTTTTCCGTAAAACGAGGTAATCTCCTCCACATATTTACTTCGTAATCCGTAAAAGCACTTCTGAAACCATGGTTTGGTTTCTATCCAAACACCCCAAGAATCTGTTAAATTTGTATGGCTGATGTACAAACATCAGCACAGGTTCATATACAGTAATGTGCACATGTTTATGACACCATGTTATTTTTCTTCTTGAGCAGCAAGGCAACCAAGGGTGGCCGAAAAGTCATTGCTAGAAGAATAGCGAAGGGCAGGTCAAGGATTACAGCATAGTCAATCTGATGCTTCTCCAGCGCATTGGATCTTTTGATTTACTTTGAATTTTCTTGCATTCCATGTTAAATACCCTGCAAACCAGGACAAGTTGAATTAGCTCTGGTGCCCTTCTTTTTTTCCCCCCAAGTGTGGGGGTTCTAGGGCGTTGGTGATCTGTGATGAAATCAACCTTTGACAATCTGTTGATTGCCCAATGAGCATGCCAAAATATTCTTGAGTCAATCTCCACTTGTATTCCTAACACATACGGATTGCCTTTGAGCAAGTTCAAATTCAATTAGTCATCTTTCATGCCTATTAGTACAAATGATCTGGTTTGGTGTAGTGACTGCTGTATCTCATGAAATTAAAAATACATACCAAAAGATCTCAAAAATGTCAAGAAGCCAGAATAAATATTCAAAGATGGTAAAAAAGGTAAGCTAACCCCATCTGGTATCTTGAAGGAAGTATGAAGGAGGGAGTAGTGCAACAAACAAATTAGTATAGATTAGTACAAAGGTGGAACTTGAGTGTAATAAGAAAGATTGTATGTCTGTGCAGAAGGGTGTAAAAGGGACAGTGGAAAAAGGAAATTTTTGTGAGATGAATGTGGGGAAAAGAAAGTTGAGTGTGAAGAAACAGTTTCCATGTTCTATTCTTTTGTCATGTTTTTGCGTGCAGGTTGATTTACAAAGGAGAAAAGACGGGAGTAAACAGTGGGGATTCCCCCAGCCAACATGACCCATAAGACATTGATTTAAGATTCTGAGTGATGATGGAAGCAGAGAGAGTGATTTGATTTAGATGCAAAATTAGGCCACTTTCTGTCATGAGGCAAAGTGTTGCTGAGATTCCACGGACAAAGAAAAGAAGCAAAGAACTCCCCACTTCCATAAACATGGGCCCTTCCATTATTTAGAAAACCGGGACACTAATGCCCTTTATTGAAAGACTTCATTTAAATATTATTATTTATTTGTAACTTTTCTCTCTTTTTTATTCATCTGCCCGCTGATTGAAAGTTAATTATCTACGCGTCTAGTCTTTTTGTTAACTCATTTCAGCATATTTTGATTTACAATGACGTGATCTTCATTATCCATTATATTATCTTTTAATAACTGTATCATATAAGAGAGTGTATTCACGGACTATTAATTTGCGAGAACAACCCTTTTAATAGTTTTTCAATAAGATAAATATGGTCAAAAAATTTTGGCCTCCTTTGATGACTATGACAAAAGCTTTAGTTAATGATGTCTACTTTTCAAAATCTGAAATTTGCTTTTTATTCTTAAAATTATTTTCTTTTGCTGTATTATAATAATCTCTGACTCTTTTTAAGCATATATTAAGAAACAAAAGAAAAAAACTTGAGAAAATAGCATACAAAATAATAATGGACCAAATGCATTGTATTAAGAAACATGTACAACCCACAAACTCTGCCATGGAATTTTTTTTATCCATTATTATTTTGTATGCTATAACACTGCTCCTATTTTAATGAAAAATTTAGCAATAATAGAAAGGGGCTACAAATTAATTTAGCAAATATAATGTGATTAAAATATTGTCTTCTTTTTTTTTAAGAAAATGAAATCATTTACATCTTTTTCTTTATTGCCTTTTTTATGACAATAATTGCAATCAATAAAGAATATTATTTAAATTATGAGAATCTCGGCTTTTGAACAACACACTATTTTGACCAGATCGATAGTCGATGGCACCATGAACTAGGGAATATTGTGTTTTTCTAGTAATGTACAATTAGTAGTAAATATTTATTCTATAATTTACTACTCTTACGATTATGCTCTTTAATCACACAGCAATTATTTTAAGATAATTGTTTTAACCTGTCCATGTAAATTTCATGAAAACTGAAAAATAATGTGATCAAAAGAACTTAATAGTATTAATTCTATTAAAAAAAGGTGGAATATTTCCATCATGACAACATCCAAGTCTTCCTCTATTTTTTCTTTTCAATTGAATTTTTCTAAATTGCATTATTATTATTATAAAAGTCGAAATGAAAATTTTCCAACTTCTAACCCCCACCACTCTTTATTCCATCAGGAGACACTGGAAGTGACATTTTGTTGCTATTCTCTTCCATAAAGTTGAACCAATTTAGAAGCAACATTAGCTCCAAGTAAAGCAAAACGCCACGATAGGACTTATCCTCACCAAATGCAAGCTAGACGGTGCAAAAGTAAATTTAACTATTTCAGGGTAAAAGTTAAAAGCTCACAGTACATAATGCAATTACTGGAGGTAAATTATATTACCTTCTGTCCTAATCATAATATGTTATTTATAATCTATAAACGAAGCCTTATAATTAAAACCGAAAGTAGTACTAAGTTACTAATTCTTTTTCCTAATATAAAAGTTACTTCATTAATTTAAATATTAAATAAATTAATTAGTTAAGTTAATTATCTGTAATAAATAGACCCTTAAGGTATCCTTTTTCATCTTGACTACCTTTCAATGAAAACTCTCAATATATATAATCAATATGAATACCATGGAGAATGAATTATAATTTGAAAGAGAAAGTAGATTGAGATATTATATTTAGAATCAAATCCTAGTGTCAAATAGTTCTTATATAAATTAAAGGATCTGAGATTGTAATTTTTTTTAGGATTTGTAAACTAATAACACAAAAGCCCTCTTGTAATTTGTAAATGACGGGCAACAAATTCAATTCCCACTTATAATATTAGACTGCTAGATCTTGTTCATCTAATTTTTAAAAATAATTCTAATTTTCTTTTCTAAACAAGTTATCTTTTTTTTTTGGACTCAATTCTAAACAAGTTATCATTTGCATAATTCTTAGAGACATTATTAATATATGTCCATCATAACTCCAACGTACGCCAGAGGAATCTTGGTAACTTTCACAGTTTCACTTGAATTGATGTTCTCTTTTCTGGTCAGAACACTTGAACTAATGTTTTCAAAGCGTACAGTTTCAACATGATGAGTGTCACTTTGAAAATTTTGTAATTTTACACAATATTTACTATTCAATTTAGAGATTTAATTAAATATTAATTAATTTTGTGCCTTTTTGAACTCCGTTAATAGAAATAATTAAGTGGCGCATAAGAAATAAGAATATCTAACATAAGAATTAATATTTTCATTAAATAAAAATGAAGCTATAGTAACTTTGAAGCTTTATAACTAAAAATATTTCGACTAAGGCACTTCTTGGTTCTTTTAATTTTATATAAAAATTTAATTCAGCATTTTAATTGTATAAAGTTTTTTTTTCAGTTTTTGACGTAATACATTTTTGTCTCAAATAATAAATTTTGCGTTAATCATTATTTTTTTTATAAAATAAAATTAATATATTATTATTTGTGAACATTTTGTTTATATTTAAAATTTTAATATTATCATTTCTTAAATAAAACTAACATAGTACTATGATCAACATAGTTATCAGACTAAAAAGATATTTTATAAGATTAAGATATATGAATGAAACATCTAAGTAAAGTTAAAAAAGTGCAAAAAATGTAAAATCAAAATCATTCATTAATTTGGGGACGTGAGAAAATCGATATTTAAACTTTTAAAGCGATATAGCCGCCAGAGCACCATGGCTAGGCCCTTTACTAGGTGGCATTGTGAAGGACACTTTGGCCTCTAGCGCTTAAGAGTTGACCATCGTATCTTTGTACGGCTTTTGTCTTCGTTCAACGTCATCAGCCATTAATGCCACAGACAAACAAACAACACACACCCACACACACAGCGCTTTGAAGCCAGACATTGTTCAACCCCAGGTACGTGCACATCATCAAGGGACATGATTGGCATATAAATTAGAAATAAACATATTATGAAGAGTATTCCATAGGAGTATATAGTACGAGGGAAAAAAATTCAAATTAATCGATTGAGCTGACAAACATGTGAAACAACCTAAGACATGTCACCGATAATGGAGGAGGATACTGACCTAGGAGCAAACTAGGTTTTCCATTGGACAAAACTCTTACTTCCCCCTCTTATATATACGCAAAACTCCAAGACATTGCTAAATGCATGGCAATGATCAGTTCATATATAATAATATAACAACAAACAAACACACACACAAATCAAGAAAATGAAACAAGAAACATCGGATTTCCCATATTATTCGGCCATATGTATTTAAATAGACAAAATAAAAAGCTCCTATATTCTCTCATGCATATATTATACTCAAGGCTCCAAGCTGGATGGAAGAATAGGGTTTGTGGCGGAGGGCGGCAACGATGATAGGATTGCATCAATGTACTCCATTTGATTGGCTGAGAAAGTATGGTGATCTTGTTGTGGGGAAAAAAGAGATGATGGTGGGTAACAATGGATTCCGGCAAGAGAAGGGTCCTGTAATAAGTCTTGTGAATAAGAAGATGATGATGGGACTGCATTACTACTGCTCATCAACACATAATCCTCAAAGCTATTACAGATTTTGGGCACAATGGACTCCCCCAAGTTGTCATCATCCGGATCACAATATTGCTGCATTAACATCGAACCTGGGTTCATGAATTTCTCTGCAACAAGATGATGAAGTAGAGGATCATCACTTTTGGTAATTTGATTATTCTCTTGACTCAGACCATTCAACATTGACCACGTATCATGATTATCATTATTATTATTGCCATCTTCACAGTATGGAATAATAATATTAGGTGGTGTGGTCTCTGATATAGGATTCTGCTGGACATGAAGGAAATTGTTATTGGGATTATCATAATTGGCAATGTCTACTTTAACATCATCAGTTTTATGATGGAGACCATTGAGAGCTTGTGGGATTGGTGACGGAGTAGTAGTAATGGGATGGTATAGCTGATGATGAGGATGATGATCAGGCTGAGGATGAGACTGGTTAAGGAGGAGATGATTATTAGGGTTTGAAGAAGGGAAGAAGGTTTCAGCAGGAGCATTATGATGATGATGGTGATGATGATGAAGAAGAAAATGATCAGAAAATGTAGAAAAAGAAGGGGGGAGTAGATCATGAGAAAGCAGCTTCTTCTTTATGCTTGAGTTCCAGAAGTTCTTGACCTCATTGTCAGTTCTTCCAGGTAGGTGCTTGGCAATCTGAGCCCACCTGTCAAAAACAATATGTCCATCATCAACTTGTCATAAAGAAAAAGTATAGAAAGAAAGCAACCTTTTGATAATTATTATAATATATATACATATATCTAATTACATGTAGGAACAATATGATTTTCATTTAGCGGATAAATTAAGGGGGGAAAAATAGGGGGAAAAAAGAGAAGAGAGAAGCAGACATGTATAGGAGCCATACCTGTTGCCTAGAATGCTATGAAGCTCTATAATGAGGGCTGCTTCTTGAGAAGAGAAGCTTCCTCGTTTCAAATCAGGTCTTAGGTAATTGATCCATCTAAGTCTGCAACTTTTCCCACACCTCTGAAGACCTTCATGTTCATTCCATGAAAATTTGTCAGAACCAAAAAATCGCACTGAATTAATCATAAGAAAAAAAGTTTAATTTCCAGCGGCAAGCTAAAGATCGGAAAAGCTATATATGTAATACTCTGATGAAGATGAATGAAGATGAGAAGGAAAAAGAGAAGGGAAAGATTTATAGTTAAAGAGGGAGGTACTTATTAGTTACTGTATGAAATGAAGATGAAAAGAGAGATGTGTAAAACATTTGATTATAGAGAGATTTAAAGAAGAAATGAAAAAAGAGATGGATATATAGATATGTAAGTACCAGCAAGCTTAGGGACAGAGCTCCAGCAACCATGGCCGTAAGTGGTGATGTAGTTGATGAGCTTTTCATCTTCTTCAGGTGACCATAACCCTCTTTTCACTTTCTGCTTGTTGCAGCAAGAATGATGCCCCATCTCTGCAAATTCGATATGATGCTATTGGCCTGATCTCTCTCTATATACCTCTTCTTCTTCTTCTTGTTACTTCTCTCACAATGATGATCTCTGATATGATCAGTTCAGAGCGAAAACTAGTGGCTTACACGGTACAGAACGAGGCCGTGGAAAACAATATATGAGGAGTACTTTTGGTGGTATTTAAAAAAAGAAGATGATGAGAGGGGCCTCTCTCTCTCTCCTCACCTTTTTTGAGCCCTAGGTGAGAGAGAGAAGAAGAAGAGCTTACAATAATAATATCAACAAAAAAAAAAGACTGAGAGGAAAAGAATCGTATGGGAGGCAGACTGAGAAGAGGGTAACGAATTTAATGAGGGAGGGTGTACCATAAGGTGGCCCACTTAGGGTTTGTGGCAAAGGGATAAAAGCTGCATTGTCACCCCCTCCTGCACCACTTGTACCCTTTTTAATGGCCTTTGCCTTCATTGTCCACGTGTCACACATGCACACTGGTGGGTCCCACTAATTTATTTTGAAAGACATTGCGGTGATTTTTCAATTAATTAACCTTTTTACTATCCTTCTTTGGAAATCATGGCTCAAGAAGTTTACCTAGATTTATAGCGTACTCATCTTTAGGTATAGCCAATGATAATGCTTGTAATTAATTAATAAAGAAAAAGTTAATCATTTTGTGCTTGTAGTTTAACAGGATGTAGCATAGTTGTGATTTATTTATAACTCAATTTTTAAATCTCAACTTAGTTTAATTCAATCTTTATAATTGATATTAGTTTTCATATTTTAGAAAAATAAAATTGTATATTTTATGAAAGTTAGGAATTAAAATTTTAACTGATTAAAATTATAAAAACTGAATTGCAATTAGTTAAAATTCAAAGATCGGGTTTTAACTAAATCGAAATTATAGAGACTAAATTACACTTACTTATGTGGAGATTAAAATATTAATCAAAATTTTTATTAATAAATATGTCTGCTAAAAGAGGCATATATGTATATATAAATGTATTAGGTATCAAATTAAGCCATTTATATAATGAATGATTATGATGGAAAAAATATATATAATGAATGATCATGATTGAAAGGAAACAAAAGAATCATATTAGTTTCAAAACCAAGCAAGCACAGAACCATTTCTTGAAAAACACACACACATTAAAGTTGTGAAAGTTAATATTAAACGTGGGTGTGGCCAAACCTTCTAGATAAGATAATACTACCTCTAGTCCTTAATATAAGAGTTAGTTTGACTAATTTGAGTATATTAAGAAAATTAATTAAACTAGTTATTTATAATAAATATGTATTGTCTTCTCTTAAATATCCTTGTCCCTCATATATATTAGCTAAAATTACCATTTAATCAAATTTTTTAATATGTACAACTATTATAAAGATTATCTTAAAAAAATAGATAAATAAAATAAATTGGGGTCTTATATTTAAAACCAAACCAAATTAAATATTAAATTAAATTTTATATTAAAAACATGAGGTAGTATATATTATATAATAGTAGACAATTATAGATCTTTACAGCAAAGTTATGCCTGTTCTAGCTTCTAGGAGATTGGCCATTCGTATTAGCATAATGCACTACTTTATTATCTATATACTGTTTACTCTCGTTTAAAGATTTTTCCCCACAACATTGTATATATAGGTGATAGCTAGGCAACTTTAATCTGTGATGTTTCATAACCAAAAAAATGTACTATAACAATAATATCAAATAAATTTTCATTTTCCTTTCCAAAATCAGAAGTGAAAAAGAAAGCATGCGCAGTTGTATACAGTAGGTAGCTAGAAATATAGGTAGTTTATTAATCCGTTTTTAATTAAATATCTATAAGACGATGGATTAGGCTTAATCCCAATATATGCAAGATTGTCATCTTTCAATATGGTTTCTATTAATAAAGTTAATTTAAGGATGACATGGAATGGAATCACACTTGGTCAATCCATTATCGTTATTCCAGTGCCTCTTATCATTAAGCTTATGATGATTTTTGTCGCCTATTATCTTCCTTAATTAATAGCTACTCTATTAAAATCTAGCTGACAGCACTCCAGCTTTCTCTCTCTCTCTATATATATATGTTTTCAAAGTTTACTGTTTTCTACGAATTATGTATGTGATATGACATCCTATACAGTGCCTATTTGTTCTTTATTTTTCATAAAAATACGAAGCGCAAAAGATATGCTTTTTTGCCCAAAATATCGTGTAGTTTAATTGTATGGCGAACTTTAAAAATTTGTGGCCATATATATGCCAAGACATGTAAAATAAACTTATTTCTCTTAATTAGTTTTATATTAATGGAGGGAAATGTGTATAAATGAGGTTAATATATCTCTTTTCACTCAATCAGTTAAAAGGAATTTTTTTTCGGGCAAGGGGGGGGGGATGTAGTAGAAGCCAGTACCTACGTTTACTGAATTTCAAAAGCACTGATTTTTAGAGAATTATTAGGATGTGTCCAAACAAAACATGCCATTACATCTCTAAATTGTGGACAGTTTTGGTTGGATTATTTAACTTCGCACGTGTTCTTCTACGAGGGAAACATTAAATTAAAAAAGATCCAACAACGTGAAAAAAATTTTTTGGAGAAATAAAGTACATAATATGATGAGAATGGATTTCTTGACTATCACAATGATAACTGATGCATATGATGAATTTAGAAAGAGAGATTATAGAGAAAGCAAATATAATGAGTACAATGACGAGATATGGATTTAATCAATACTCCTCTGGTCCTTAATATAAGATTCATTTAACTAATTTGATTAAATTGAGGAAGTTAGGTAAGTTAGTTAATTATAAGAAAAGTGACACATTTTTCCTAAAATACCATAATCATCTTTCTTAATATCCCATCTCTCTCTTTTACTTGATTATGGTTGAGGGAGTATCCATAAGGATAATTTAGAAAAAATTGATAAATATAAGAAATTGGTCTTATATTTAGGACTAAAACCAACTCGAGAATTAGGTTCTATATTAACGATCGGAGGAGTATTTGTTTTTTGACCGAATGAATTTAATTAATATACGATCATATTTTTTATGTTTTCCTAATGGCCTGTGAATGCATGAACATAGGAAATACAAAACGGACAAAAATGCCATAAAGAAATAATAAAATTTATTTTTTATATATATATAGAGAGAGAGAGAGAGCTAGATATTACATGATACCTTTAATTAATACTCCATCTGTCCCTTTTATAAGCAACCTTGAAATATATCTCGTAGATCAAAAAGTAAGTTAAAAATAATAAATAGGTAAAAATTAGAATTTTTTTTAAAGTATCCTTATTTATGGGGAGAAAGAGGATGAGAAAGAGAATAAGAAAATTATTATAATAAAAAAAGTCATGTATATTGGGCATTAAAACAAGAAATTAATAGGTGCAAGATAGAAAATTTGCTATAAAAATTTAAAACAAATTGCCAATATTTTTTATATTTAAAGACAAGAAGGAAATGGTAATTGTTACTTTAGAGAACAAGGGAGTAACTATATTTGTCCTCCACCAATACTATATTTATGAAAGCGACTCATTCCGATGAGCATTTTCTTAATGGGTTGACGTTTATTTAAAGAATAATTCAAGTCAAGGGCATCTTAATTAACATATCATAATAACTTATTACTTAATGACTTCTTTAGTAATTAAATGTAAAATATCCTAAAATGACGTTTATAATGAACTAAAGGGAGCAGTACGTATGATACACTCCTTAATGGCAAAAACAAAAATATGATATATTTTTTTTATCCTTAGTATAAAAGTTAGATAACTACTCTTTTAGTCCTATTTATAAGTCACTTTCAATATATTTCATACAGGCTAAGAAAAATCTTAAACTTCATTAAATCTCATTTAAAATTCAATAACTTTTCAACTTTGTCTCTATTTAATATACATTATATCTCATGTAAACAAAATCAATACAATAATAAATGAAGGGCAAGATTATACATCAATACAAAAAATTTGTCTTATTACCCTATATATGGAAACAAAAAACGTCTTATCTCTCTGTCCTATAAATAAGATCAGAGAAACAATTTATAAAAAATTGAAAAAATTAATTAGGTTAGTTATTTGTGAAAAAGAAAAATGTATGCTAGTTTCTTGAAATATTCATTTACTTGTCGAAAGCTAACCAAAATAATCTTTTAAATAATTGCAATTAATAAAAATAATTTAGAGAACAAACAATAAATTTGAAAAATAAATCAGATTCTTACATTTAAGATCAAAATAAATATATCTACTAGCATTTACATAGAACTAAGCCAACTAGGGGAGTACCAGGCTTGGCAATTATTGATGATATTAACAGCGATCCGAGGTTAAGAGGATAAATTAACACTTTCACCTTAGGGTCATACATAGTCAACAGGGTGAAAATATAGCTACTAATTATTGAAGCACAGTGAAAAATGATACTTCTTGATCAATTTGAAAGCCCTTTTGTTTTTTTTTTATCTGTTTCTCTTTTAACATAATTGGCTTGGTGTACGGATTCAAACCCATGTAAAACATGCTTGGCTACTTAGGTGAATGAATTCTTTTAAGTAATGATGTTTAATTATTCTTATTCTTTCTAGACAAACAAGGTATCATAGACAAGGGACATGATAATGTACTATTTGTTCCAATTCCATGATATAATTAACATCTTGAATTTATTTTGACACATATATAGCCATATATATCTTTGAGATCAAGAAAACTAAATTAGAGACGTGTTATGTCACTCAACTTTCAAGAGTTATTAGCTACATAAAGAGAGCCAACACAATATTCAATGAACTTATCTACTCCCTCTTGCCTTTATTACAAAGAGTCAACAAGCTAATTCATACAGACAAAAAAATACTCCCTCCGTTCCTTATTATAAGAGACAAATAACCAAATTACGTTGATCAAAAAAACAGTTAAAATTAGTTGAGGACAATTAATGTGTAAAAAATATAATGTTTTTTCCAACAATACCCCTAT